GAAATTAATGTACATTAATTTGTACTTTACTACAACTTGTCCCGACAAAGTTTCAAATTTGATTTTTTACGCTTCACGCGGTTAGCAACCTGAATTCTGGGTTTATGGGAAGTGCAGCGTTTCACAATGCGTGAATTGTCCAGAAATGACTATATTCACACACATAACTTGTAGGTATGTATTTTTTTTCAGGCGTTATTGGGGCTAAACTTGGTTAGTACAGCTAAAACGTTAGTAAACAATTGAGTTTATTTCTTAAAGATATTAGAGTGTGAAGACGCAGTTTTAAATTTACTATTAAGAAAGATTTTAAAGTAGTTGAAAATTAGAAATAAAACATTACAAAACTTCTTCAAATTTACAGCGACAACCATGTATTCAAGCACATGTTTTTTGGCAAAAATAATAAAAAACTTCACGCTCCTTGAGGACACTTTAAATCGGTCAAAGATTCGATTAAGTAAAATATCTGGAACTACTGTGCTGTTTATACAAGCAAATCAGTTCTTATCTGGAAGTGAAAATAGTCCTAACTGAATTATTATTTGCCGAAAGTTGTACCTACTCCTACCTATAAGTTGAATAACTAAAACTAAACTAACTTCTTGGCTATGTCCCAAACGCGTAATTAAAAATTAMGGCTTACCTTGTAAATAATCCTTTATTAACAACTTTTCTGAGTAGTAGTTCTTCAACATTTCGCCCATTAGACATATCTATATTTTGTTTGAACTCGATCTATTCCTTATACACGTTTTGTAGGTATTTGGGTTAATTATGATTGACCTCAGAAAAATTTTTTAGTCAAACAAATAGTTAGTGGGCCAGATTAGTAAAATTGATTTAAAGCTAATTTTTTCAAGTTTTATTGCTTAAGTGAAGTAAGATGGCTTGGCCTGTTTTCTTATGAAAAAATTGCAAACTTTATTGAGCGAAAAGCACATCTCGAAAAAAGTTGTGAGTAAAGAGATTAAGTAGAAGATAAGACTTATTTTTAAGTTCGGACACGATTGGGCCATAAATTAGTTTATTATCTTTTTTACGGATAAATAATGCACTGATAGTTCTATTGTTGCAATTGTCTCGATGTTTCTACTAGCTTTTTAGTGTTTAGGATTTAGGTAATGTTAATGAGAAAAAAATTGCAAATGAGAATTAAATACACGGTACCTATTTTTTTTTTTTTAATTTCCGTTTTTATTTAGATTTATTTTTGTACTCCCCAAATGCCCCCCAGAGGAACGGCAGCAATTTTCAATCACCGCCCATAACGCAATCAATCAACCTTAAGCAACAAATGTCGTGTATTTATTTAATATAAAAAATGTAGTAACTTATGGAACATCCTTAAGTACAGGATGGAGCAATCTAGACCGGGTGGAATTTTATGACACAGTAAAATAGTATTATAAATACGTTAGCTCATACATTTCTGAGTAAATCAGATGTAAGGCCAAATCTTTGCAGGAATTACAGCCATTTTTAGGATATTATCATATTAATTATGTAAACAAGATTAGTACATAAAAAAAAGATTAACGCTGAAGAATCAGTATTGAACAGAATTTGAAGATACATAAGACCCCGGATGTCATTTGGAATCACTTCAACAGCTTTATGACGCCGATGTAACTTTTAGGCTTTGATTTTGAACAAGATTTGGGATTATCCAAATGTTCTTGCCACTTTTTTGTGTGTCTATTCTCCGGCAATGCAACATTTAAACGCAATGGTATGGTTAATTGGCACAATATTCACTATTGTTCCACACTAATATTCCCAACAAAATGTAGATTGGATACCCGGAATTGATAACCAAAACAATGGGCCATTAAAAACCGGACCGGAAAATTATCACATTCTTTGCGAAACTACCCAATGCCAATGATTCAGAATGTCACTTTAATTTTCAACACAATGGAGCGTGGCGGTCACACTACAACAAAAATATAAGAAATTACTTAAGTAATTGTATGAGAAAAATGTAAAAAAATATGTAAGAAATTATTGGAAACGAAAATTGTCCGCGATTATGCAATGGAATGGACACCTAGATCACATGGCATGATACCAATAGAGTTTTTCTTTTGGGGTTTAAAATTTCTGATAAGTTTATAAAGGTACCAATATCAGGTCAAGTCATGAAAACAAGAATAAGAAGGTTTTATAAACATTTCAGTACAAAAATTAGAACGGCAAAACAATTCCGGTATGCATAAAGCTGAAATGTGTATGAAGAAAATTCTAATTCACGCCGGCCTGCCGTAATTTCTGCAAAATTTTGATTTTGCAACCGATTTACTCAGAAACGTGTGCATATTTAAAGTAGGTACTGATAATTTAGAATTTTCTGAAAGCTTATCGAAAGACCTTGAATATAGTATAATAATGTACCTATGGGGTGTTCCATTAAAAGAAATTAGATAGTAATCTTTATCAAAAAATGTAACTCTTCGTATATTGGTGAATTATTTGAAACATTCGTTCGTGGTGTGTTCAATTTTTAAATTTCTGATAGACTGGGTACAATGGAGTTCCAAATGTGGCCTCGTTTTGAACTTTAAGTTTACAGGAGGCAAACTATTAAATGCAGATTGACTAAACCCGATATCAAAAATATCCTTATTTATAAGAGAACCAATTGCGACATGGTGATACAGGGTACTATAAAAAAAAACTTGAGTTTCTGTGCCACAGATTTTTGTAAACTCCATGTGTACTGAAAATAATTTTAGTGAATTGCCACTATTGGTGCAAATACTGCATAAAAAGATCATTTCAAAGTTACACTCCGATTAGTCATATTCCACTCAGAAATGTAAGATATGCTGCATACAAAATGCAGCACAAACCAGAAATTGCTAACTTAATTTTGATAATTATTTTGTATTTAAACATCATTGAATATGTCCGAAAGTGAACTGATTTTTCCAATGGAATTCAATGATATTCACTTACCTATTAACGTAAAGCAAGTATTCGTAATTGGATATAACACCATTTTGCCACTGCAAAGTGATGACATTTTGCTCCAAGTTATTCAGGGTTAATTCAGGTTGTTCTAGCAATTTCTCATAAAGCTGATCCCTTTCACCCTGGCTACTGAATGAAAGGTATATGTGAGAATTGGCACACTTATTGTCGGACGAATAAATTTCTATACCCTTAAACATGTCGAAGGTGATTAATTTGAGATACAAACATTCAACTCCAAATCAACTACTCACTATATGTTGTAGCAAAAATCTTCTTTTTACTATTCTTTTAATGCTCTTTAAAGGGATCTTCATAACGGGATACTAGAAAATTACTACTATTAAACAAGCTCGTAATTTAGGTTTGGGTCGATTTGTGCTACTTACTGTATCGATATTATTATAGGATTGGAAGAACAAACATAATTTTGATAACACGCATCTACCCGGAGTAATATTCAAAGGACATACTTTGTCAGCGTGGGTTTCAAGTATAATTTTGTCATACAAATCGAGCCACAATGGATCAAACTTAACGCGAGCATGTCTCGAATGTACAATTGCTGTGATCTGTAAACAATAAGTTTCCATTTAGTAAAAGGTACAAACTACCTAAATAGTTAATTTCTTTTAGTTCTAGTTTCATGCAATTTAAACTTGCCATATTTGATTGTTCCGCGGTTGGTATCGTACTCGCTCTGTGCAACTGAGAAATCATACTCAAGCAATTCGAGACATCGGCATAATCCAACAAATATAAAAAGTTTGCCGTTTCCTTAAACTTGTATGGAGCTATCACATTTCCTTCTAACATTTCAATATATTCGCGACAATTTATAGTTAGGGCATTATCAGTATCGATGAATTTGGCACAGCCCTTATACTCTTCAATCACTATGCAATCTCGAAGAAGCATCTTTATCAGGGGCTTAGTTAAGTCTTTTGGTTCAAATACTAAGGATTTTGAGCACATTTTAAGTCTACCCTCTTGTTTTTTAACATCACAAGTTTTTCTAGTTGCATCTGGAGGAATCAAAGTGCAACTAAAGTCTTCGAAGTATATTTCACCTGGCTCCAAAAGGAGCAGCGAAAATCTAAAAGGTACGTACTAGAGTATAAAATATACCTGAATGTTTGAGTGTTGATGGGAAATAAATATTTATATATTCAAATACCTGGATTTATCCATTATTACAGTAAACACTTAAATAAAACTAAGAATTGAAAAACAAAAACTGAACGTAAATAAAGAGCACAGAAAATGTTAATTAAACTCTTGTACAATTGAGGTTAACTATGTGTTGTATGTGTATAAACATGATCTGACAACTCGCATCATAAAATATCCCCCCTGTGGGGATGTTCTGTGACTCGCAATCTAGCGGTAGCCACGATATTTTTTCATGCAAGTATCTTGATAGCTCTGACCCCGTTGAATGGCGCGCAGTTTGAAAATTAACAATTATCGGGGTGAAGTATTTTTGAAAAACAAATTGAATTTGTTTTTCAAATATTTAAATCCTTTGCATATTTAAATAAGTTGCATTAAGTTTCCTAAATAATATTGGTAAGAAGTTTTAAAGCCCTTGTCAATTTGTCTGCTGCAACACTTCCCAAAATGTGTTAATGGTTTCAAATGAAAAGAAAGAAGTTAGGACCTGCGGACCTAAAATTACCTGAAGAACCGCCCTGTAAAATATCGGACACTTATTAAAAACACCATGTGTAGTATTCCTGCAGAAGTATCAAGGTGCTGCGCATACGAATGAATAAAAATTGCCAACAAGTTAATTTTAGAAAGATTTCAAACAACTCCAGATAAATTTGTATTGACTGCTTGGAAATGGAGGCGGGACACTGAACATGTTCTAAAATTTTATTTTTCAGTTTAGCTATATGTTTTTTTGCTTGTCCATATACAATAAATATTTAAAAAAATAATACCCATCCATATCTACAAAACCGTTTCTTTGCAAACCCAGGTTTACTAAGATCCTTTGCGTATATTTTTGCCCATATATACTTATATCTTACCTTTTTAAAACATTTATCCTAGCTTATATAAATGATAAATAAAAATATGGATAAATAAACAAAAATAAAGAGCAAAGAGCAACACTTATAATTACACTGAAACGTGAGAAACAGACACCTTATTATTTAGTGTGCATTTAAAATGTAAATAAAATTTATCAAAAACCAATTACATAAAAAAATTGTGAAGTTGGTCAGCCTTAAGTAAATTACATCATGTTATCCCTGTACATATTATCAAAGTTTGTGTAAGCCAGAGACAAGTCTGTTGTAAGCTAGAATTGAATTAGCCGTTATTGATACTCGTCTGGATTTCTTCAACTTTGTTGCTAACTTTAAAAACTAATTTATCTACTTCATCCATCAAACTGTCCAATTTCTGCTTAAGCACTTCCAGATGATCAGTTCGTTTAACAAAATCTTCTAACTTTGCACAATGGTCATTTTTAGGGGGCTGGTTATCCAAAGATAAATATAACTTGTTTCTTTCTTCCTCGTTTAAGGATATTGATTCAATATCGTCTGTAATTTGCTCAATATCTAGCTGAAATGAATGCCTTTCCGGCACCGACGATTTTCCAAACATTGTCTTTGAAGAAACCTAAGGAAACTTTAGAAAATAGATTTGTATTTGTTGAGGTTATAATGATATACAAGAACCTCAATACATAAGGTAGGTATTTACTTATTTTATATTTATAGGCACAGTACATGATAGTAGGAATGCGCAAGGATCTATATCGATAACTTGGGTTGCTTTTTTTAATTGTGAAATTTTGATAACTGTTTAGGGAAATTAACAGCCCCAAAAGTAAAAATCAAAACCATAATTAACATTTTGCTTTCCAGTGTCAGAATTAGGGCTCGGAATTTTTAAAAATCTGATATTCGAATATTTGTTTAGTGGTTTATTCGAATAGTAAAATTATTCGAATACTCGAATATTTAACGCATATTCGAATAATCGAGTATTCGAATATTCATTTCGTTAGATATTCGAGTGTTCGTTTTCCGTTCACCGTTTTCCAAGAAGAAAAATCGTTATCTTATATTCGAGTTATGACTACACATAATTATTCGCTTTTCGAATATTCGAATATTCGAATACTCGAATTATTCGAGTTTGATTCCGAGCCCTAGTCAGAATACAACCCAACCAGCACAGTCTGTTGGCGGACTATCATGCATCACGTCAAATAACGTGATTGTCACGTCACAATCATGTCAAATTGGTCTTTTTTCACGTTTTCTAAATGTGAAATATTTGTTTGTAATTGCTGCCAATAAGACGTTATTCTTGATATTAGTTAGACCTAAGTTCTTAGTAAAAAATGCAAATAGTGGGCGAAAAATTCCTCTTCAAACTCTACCAGTGGAGTTCGTAGAAATGCTTTACAGCATATCATGATCTTTTGAAATTACTGCAGAAATTTTGCATTCAATCATTTCAAAAAAATAAAATAAGTTAAAGAAAATTGAATAACTATTTTTACGAAGGCATACGATATAATTGGACGAATCTTGAACTTTGTAATTATACAGGGTGTCCCGTAAGAACATGGTCAAAAGGGTACTGCGATATTCTTTGGATCAAGAGAAGATGAACTGACCTAACTTTTATTAACAAAAAATGTCTGGCTCCTCTGCTATTGATGCTCAAAGTTCTTCAAAAAAATTATTATTTTTGAAATATCGGGAGAATGGTACGGAAATGGACATATTTTGTTAATAAAAGTTAGCTCAGATTGTCTTCTTTTGATGCAAAAAATATCGCAGTTTCCTTTTGATCATGTGCTTACGGGACACCTTGTATAAAATTTACAAATGCAAGTTTAAAGAAGATAAAAGAAGCAAAATGAGTTTAGAAAGTTCACACTCCTGATGCTTCGTCCAGACTTAACGAGCCGACTCCGAGTCATTATTTCCGACAGAAAATCGATCGTCTGCCGGTATTTTGACGAAAATCAAATCACGTTTGCTTATGGGCTGAGCCTCCACTCGGGCTCGACTCGCTAGGTCTGAACGCACCATAGAGAAAGTAAAATAAGAAAGTAACTATTTTACTTTCTCTATGGAACGCACCATACGAGAACTTGTCCCAATGGATGTTTTGAAAACTCGCCGTTATAAGACTGTAGCGTGCAAAATCCCGCAAAAAATTGTTGACAGAAATTCGTGATTTTGCCTTTTGTTTGCTCTATTCGATGTTAAAACAAATTAAAATTTATTTAATTAATACTGAAATTAAATTCAAGAATAAACCTTCTTGATAGATGCACTTATTTCTTTATCTTTAGCTGAAAGTAGCTGCTCAACTCAATATTATCACTTTAATTCACTGAAAGGAGGCATTCTGTAATATTTATTCCCTCTTTACTGCCTGTTATTATATTTAATCAAAATCAACCAATAACTATATTCAGCAGATATCGACAGATAATGAATCGATGTTATATTTGCCGCACTAGCTATTGGCTATTGTTTTACCTGACTTGTGACTTGAGTTAATTTCACCTGTACCTGTAAGGTGCAAGGTTGTCTATCTAATTATTGTGTATTGTTTCTAAACATGTATTAATGCATGTTGTTATCTAATTGCAAATAGTTTTAATTCAATTCCGGCATATTCGTATTATTTTAATTTTGAATAAGAAAAATTACAAGAATGAGTGATCAATTGGCAAAACGACTGGAAGAGGGTCACGGCAATGTAGTGGCTCCTGTTCAAGAACCTGGAACGAAAAGCTGGGTAGTGTTTGACGATGAGACTGTTCCAAATCCTCTTCCTAGTAGTGCTATTGAAAAATCGGACGTTGGTCCAACTAAGCGCAAAGAACCAGAAGCACAAATTGAAGGCAAGAAGAAGTTGGCACAAGATAATTCTCCCGCAGTTATTACCACCGAAAATGTGCAGTTTAATCTGGACAAAAGCCTCAGTAGATCTATGATAGATAGTGCGAGTAATAGCGTTGTCCTGGATCCAAAACCATTGAGGAATGTCGAATTACCGGTGGCAACTGTGGAGCCAATAAGGCAAGGATTTTGTAAGTGTAATTTTTAATCAATTAAAAAATTTATATTTGGAATTTGCAACGTTTTTATTATTTTCTAGTCGTCGAATGTACAGGGTGTTTGGTAATAACATATACTCAATCTAACCATATATTACTTGGAGGTAAACTTGGTAAAGTTACACATAAGTGTGTTTAAAATATATACCGAGTATACCTACAAACACTTAAAGATCTTAAAAAATACGCTTTAGACCGGATTAAAAAAAAGCACGCATATGATTCGGGAGTTCAAAAGTCCGATCGCCCACTGGCGGCTTAATTATAAACTGTACTTAACGAGAACATTTGACAGTTATTTGTTTACATTTGGTCATGATCATTGTTGACATGTCACTCGACAAGGAGTATTTGTTTACGTTTCGCAGCGCCCCTATAGGTAGCTGAATTCGCGAGTAGTTTGAAAGAAGCTGTCAAATGTTTCCAAAATGACTTCGCGAGTTCAAGTCCAGACGACCCCTGGCGGTTAAAAATATAATTGATAGTAGTAGTAATTTGACACTTGTTTTGTTGACATTGATGACACATTGGTGTTTACATCTGATTGTAATTTGTTTTGTTCTAATCAACTTTTGTAAGCTTTTAAAGAACTGGAACCAGATCGAAAAGCGTGTAGGTATTGTTTTATGTTATAGATGTCATCAACTCCAATAAATAAACAAGTTTTAAAAGTCTCTAACTGTCACTCAACAACGAGTAATTTGACGTTTCGCAGCTCCATCATCGGTAGTTGGACTCGCGAATTAGCCAATTTGCTCATCAAATACCTAACAAAGGAACATTAATAAAATAAATTAAGGTCTGAAATATGATGAGCCATTCATAGGCTGTAAGAAACAACTCTTATTACTAAATGAAAGCATTTTAAAAAGTTACTAGGTGTACCTGAAAAATAACTTATAGAAAGATTAATAAAAAAAATTCAATACTTCAAAGCTGGAAAGAAAAAAGTCTTATTAGTAAATAGAACCATTTTACAGAAAATTTAACAAAAGATTACCTGCTGTACATAAAAAAGTATATTATTGTTCAAAACAAACCATGATTCAATCACTTGTCCATCAAAAACCTTGAAAAGCATATTATAAATTGCCCACAGCTGTAGGAAACAACCCTTATTAGCAAAAAAAGCATTTTAAAAGTTTGTTAGAAAAATAAGTAAAATACATGTATATCGTCGGCTTAAAGCTAAAAGTGACCAAGCACATTAAAAAAATAATATGTTTGTCTTCAAAAACCCACAAAGTCCCCCAAGGCCACACAAACAAGTTCACTAAAATATGTTTTTACTGACCAGGTTTCCAGCAGGATTCTGATATTTATAATTTTGTGATCGGTTTAAAGTGCATTTATCAAAAATTAAAATTTTAGACTTCAGTCAGTTTTAGCTAGTTGTGGCTTTAAGCCTACGATATGAGACGTATAGATAGTTCAAAGCTGGAAAGAAAAAAATATCATATCAGTAAAAGCAAAAAATGTATAGTTACCTGGTGTTCCTAAAAAAGTGAAACGAAATATGATTACATATAGAAATGTGTTTACTCTTTATGAGTTGTGCTTGGTAAGCATTTTAAATATTAATGTACTAATTTGAACTAATCATATTTCATCAGACTATGAAGGCTTTCACGGCCGGTCAAATCACATATAGAAATGTTTTTCGGGCTTTGAAGCCGTGGTCAATGAGAATTTCTTCCTAAGACTAAGTCTTAGTCGGAAAGCACGGGAGATCACTTCGTCCACTGCCTCATCTCCTTTGATAATGTCCACAGCAATTGTGGACGAAACGTCAGGAAGAAATTCCCATGGACTACGGCTTCAAAGCCCGAAAAACATTTCTATATGTGATTTGACCGGCCGTGAAAGCCTTCATAGTCTGATGAAATATGATTAGTTCAAATTAGTACATTAATATTTAAAATGCTTACCAAGCACAACTAATAAAGAGTACACTGCAGTCAGAAAAAACCGCTACCTAAATAAAATGGGTAAAAACTGTAACATTAATTACGCGAAAATCGTAATATAAATTCCGCAAAAACCGAAATTCAAATTGTGCGAAAACCACAATACAAATACCGCAAAAACTGTAATTTAAATGCCGCAAAAACCGCAATATAATCTGCATAACAAAATCCGCAAAGCTGAACATGCAATGAGCATAATTTTTTAAAAAGAAATTACATCCCTAGTTGCCATCTACTTGGCAATTTTGAGAAACTAATGAATCTTAATGTTTACTTCAGAACGATAATTAATTTATATTACGTTATATTATTACATAATTCAGAATCAAGATATATTTTACTTAGTTAAAATTTGAATTTTTTAAAATCTACCCAGAATCCAGAAACTCCCTCGACGTTCTTCGTTGATCCTCGTCAAATAAAAAATTCATGCAACAATATAATAAAATACAAGTCAATAATATGAGACTAAAAAAGTTCTACAACTATATGGCAACCAGGGGCAAAGTATGTAATGCCAAACTTACCGATCGCTGAATCGCGCCACCTGGAAAGAAAGAAGATAAAGGCTTTAGTTTACATTTAGTTTACATTAGTTACAGTTAAGAGCTCATTTCAAGATCCGGTTATGTAAAATTGGCAAAGAAGAGAAAGTAAAATGCTAAGAAGCCCTAAAACATCAGTTGGTTCTTGAGTAACCAAACTCAGTTCAATCCAAATTATATATAGATTAGGGATACGTTTTACCAGCTCTCTGCAAGAGGGCGTCCCAGCCACAACCGTTTCAGTATGGGGTTTCAGTAGGCTTATATTATAGATGTGTACAACTTTAAATTTAATAAAAACCGGTAGCATAAGTAGAATTCAATGAATAATTAACACTTTTTATTTACTAATTAATATAAAGTTGTATTCACATGTCAATATAGATCGACGTTTTAGGTGGCCATAAAACTAACTGCTGGGTTCTTCATAAAATATCTATATTGAAAAATGACAAAACCGAATTAACTTCAACTTTAAACACTATGTATATTTGAAATTATCAATTCTTGCATGTTGCTTTTTTTGGGCCAATTTTCATCATTAAGGTAGAGTATCTTCAGGTTTATAATTTTTCAATCGTTGTTATTTTCAGCAAATGGTGATATTATTGTAACCCTACTGCCTGTGAATTCTCGATTCCCATGGATAACCCCAGCAGTATTTCGCCCAGAATTAGTTCCAGAAGAACTGATGGCACAAGGACTTACTGTAAGTAACATTTTTTAAAGTCTAACTTAACGAACTATTTTCACGGATATGTTAAATGACTTTTACATTTATTTACTGGGATGACTGTATCAAATTGAGCAGGTACATCTGCTGTGAAAGAAAATCGAATGATCTAGCCGACTCTCCCAATTTTTTGCTGCTGTATTCTCAATAGAAGTAGAACATATTTTCTACAATATTATCTTTTACTTTATTGGAATACTTTATATACAAAATTTATTTAAGCCAAGTCCTAATACAATACAATTTTTCAGGTTGCTTCCAGATTTATTATACATGTTATTGAACACCAAAAACTTTTTTTCAGCTTACTGTGGAAGAATACGTACAAGCTATGGAGCTCTTAGTAAATGATGTCCGATTTACATTATACAATGTCTGCTACAAGCGGGTTCTTGTAGTGTGGATTACTTTAGCTTTTGTAGTTCTGCTCAGTTTGCTGTTTTCCGGTACCAACGGCCTTACACTTTTCGGCCTGGGTATTGGGTGGCTTGTACTTAATGCTGCGGCCATATTCTTATCTATGTATGTTAAGTTTAAGTTGCAACGAAATTTAGAAAGGTAAGCGGATAAAGACATTTTGCTTAATTTTACAATGCAGTGTATTACAGATGTTTAGCTCAAGTCAACAAACAACTCCTTCGTCATAAAATAACGCTGACTCTGGATGATAGAGGAAAATTTTCCTGCCATAAAGTGAATCTCTGTTTTATTTACATGGATTCCGCTCCATGCATAGCTCACCTCCAAACCAGCATTGAACAGCTAGAAAGAGATCCCGCTACTGGCTGGGAGCAAAGAATGGATATTACAGCAAGTGCTATAGTTATTCAAGGAAGCAGAACGACTAAACTATCTCGAAAACAGGTATTTATCAATAAATAAGGAAGACCATTTTTTGTTGTTCAAACGGCAAAAAATGCAAATTTTCATCCATTAAAATATTGAAAGAAGGTCATAGCTATTCTTAATATTTAAATCGAATTTTTCGGGAAAGTTACGAAGTTATAAATAATGTTTAGCAAATTTCCGTAGCTTATTTCATTGTATTTTTTTCCGCACATTTTTTTGAAAAAAATACGGTATCGAAATGCAACCACATCTTTCGTTTTTTTCATACTGTATCCAACGCATTCATTGGCGCAATAATAAGGACGAATTAAAAAATAGTGGAAATTGTATACAAACCGGCGCCAAAAGTGATAAAGTATTTTTTGTGATTTAAGTCATATTACATTTCCTATCAAAAGTCCAAAAAATCTAGAACAACTGTGGTTATCTATCACGTACTTAAATTTCAACGTGTACAAAATTTACTGCCAAGGTTTTCGAGAGCATTCAGTCAATCTTTCAAAATTCTCACTCAAAGAGTTCAAATTTTCCACTAAAATATTATGTATCATAGTAAGATGGCAAAGGAGAAAACATTTCAATGGGATTTGAATCACATTTTGTGCGGCTAATAAGGCAAAACGTTTCTTTATTGGGGCCTTATATTATTGTCGGCATTTCAATGCTCCATCTTACATAACTAAGTCTACGTCTAAAATTTTTCAATAGCTAAATCGGGATTTTTAGTTATTTCCCAAATTATTTAATGATTAAATCAGGATTTTTAGTTACTTCTAAAAATTTTCAATAATCATTTGCTAAGAGATCTTCATATTCAGCCCGAATGATACTTTTTATTCGCTTATGCTATTCTTGGTTCTGTCCTTAGAAAACTTGGATGAGTCCTCGCCTTAATGTCATCTATTAATATTTAATACTTTAAATTTTTTTACCCCCTAAATACAAGTATTTTTTGAAGATTTCATCTTTCTTCTAACTTGGATTGTAGCATGGACTGTAGAGGACCCATATATTATAACTGTTATAATGATAACAAATTTTTATGATTATATACTTATTTATAATCGTTAATAGTTAATAGCGTAGTATCGGAGATAATTTAATTTTTATTGAATAAATTAGTAAAACGTTAATGAACTTGTGAATAGTGAAATGAATAAGTGAATATTGTTAAAGTGTAAAAAAAACAAAAAGTCTATTAACTACAAGTTTAAAAACTTAACCCCCGTCAAAAGGTGGACGGTGCTTACCGTTTACAACTTTTAATCCGGTTTAACGCTTAATTAATCCCGATTAGAGTGTTTCGGTGCATATGGACATAAAATGTAAATTATCTGGTAGCCTTAAAAATCATTTTACTTAAAAAATTAGCCGCATCATAACACGAAACATATTATGTAACGAATGATTCTCAGAGCGGTTTTCGCATACATGGTTCGAACTGACTAATGACCAGTTAAATCTCTCAGGCACGTTGAATATTTTTTATGGAGCTCGGTGAATGAGAGCTGAGATACGTTCTTTAAAAGTAAAAATTTGTTTTTAAAGAGTAACAAAAGGTATGCCTTCAAAGTATCAAACACGTACAAAATATAACTGATTTTGATATTTTTGAAAAATGTCCCAGAATATCAAGAACAATGTCGCAATGAAGACAATAGCTAATTACTAGTAGTGTCTTCAAACACATCAACACAAAAAACTATTTTTTTTTAGGAACGAGCTACTTTACTGTATATTCGCTACATAGCGCGTTGGGGGCGTGACCGAGTTAGAGGTTTGTTGCAGAACCCTCCGACTACGGGGGGTCGGCATTGCAATGCCTACACTTGTCCGTGTCAGTTTATCGATGAGCATTTGCAGTGCAAACCACAAGGCAAGTTAAGTTTAAGAACGTTCTTCTATTTGCCAGATCATAGCAGTTCTGGTATTTTCCGCAATAACAGTTCTCGGGAGGAAGCTGGTACTTTTGGTTGTCGTACGCAGTAAGGAATGTTGAATTTATCAATTACACATTTTACGTGAAATTACGAAAACAAGGTTTACTTGTTCATCGATCTTTTTCTCAAATTGTTCTCCAAATAACTTCGCAAGTAACAAACAGTTGTGCTTTGGTTTTCGGGCTGTGCAGCAGTAGAAGCCTAACTCCCGAATGCGTCATGAATTATCAAGATTAAATATGAACTATTTATGAAGAAGTGCAAGGACTGTTCTAATAACGGCATAAACCCTACTTACCACTCTTTTTAGATCACTAAGGTAAACTAAAGTATGCGATTGTAGCATTATAACTAATAAAACGGTTTTCGTAACATTGTTAAGCGATTCAGTCGTATTCGACTCAAATAATCAAGAATCTCAATTTTACATAGTCCATGTCTACTGCATGCACTAGATTTAAAAAAATGAATCTTTCTGGTTATAAAATCGCTCAACAAAATAATGTTTATGTATTTATATTAATAAGCCCCGACGCACAAAACACTGTCTGAAAACGCAACAATAAAACGATTCATATCATAAGACTTAGCAACATGCCAAAGACTACAAGGTAGTAATGAAGTGGTCGAAAATGATGTTACTACAAGAATAAACTAATTCTTAACGTTAGATTTATGATGTTTCCAAAGCATACTGCTCACCGCGTGAAACTTGTTTTGCTACGACGAAAATCGACCTTCTTTGAGAAGATTAAAATATGGCTTTTTCATAAGGCGAAGGAAGAAGCGAATGTATAGGTACCAGATGATCTATAAACAAATCAAATTTTTCAACAGACATTTTTCGTAGAAATGAGTATTCATCCAATTTCAATCACTAAAAGCGGCCATGAGAGAGTATTGTTTCTTTATCTTCATCAATGTTAATTAACTTTTTTGACATCACGGTTTCAAAAATATTAAAAAACTGTGATCTTGTTGCTTCGTCCCATACAGTTTGGATCAAATTAGTATACGCAAATTTTGCGCACAGACACGTTTAAAAATTTTTGACTCCAGTCCTTCGACATGGGACCATTTTTCGACCGACACTTTCCGATCACAAAGCAAGTACTTACAATTAAATTACTTTGCAACTATGAATGAGTATTGTGAAGGACGCAGTGAGAATGTCGTTAAAAGCACACGGTTTTCAAGAACGCAAATATCATTTCGTGCCTTGTAGATCCACATCAGATCCGCCATAATAAATGTATTATTAATTTAATACTTCTAAGCTTCCATAACTATTGCCCTTTATTACTAATAAGTTACAGCTGATTAGGAATGACCACGGTTAAATTTTTGGAGTTATCAGAACTAAATTTATAAGTACAATTCTAATTTAAATTGAAAGGCAGCTTATTATAGAGACTGTCTGCAAATTCAACATTCCTTATTTTTAATGTTAAAGCGAATGTTATTGTGCTCATATAACTGCAATTGTTAGTAAAATACTGTGTTAAATGTTCTAAAGGCACTTTTTTCTAGGCTTTATTGGCTTATTTATATACTGTATTGTGCCTTCTTCAGATTTTCATTCCATTTTTTTAATAATTTACTTTTGTTGCTTTTACTATTTTAATCTCCAGATGCTTTTGGTGATGGTAAATTTTACTAACACACATATTCAAAGGTAAGCTAATGTATAGAGTAGTAATACAGTCAGACCTGTTGTTTATTGATTCTATATCTTAAGTTTTGTTTGCTAGTATATTGGTTTTTTAAAATTTGTTTCTTACACGGTATAGCAATATTTATACTTGTATAATATTAATGGAAGTGTTGTTTTCAATTGTTTCTATTTGCATATATCCATGTTTAAACGCGAGATAATTTGTGCACTTTTGCACGATGAATATACGTTCTATCGGTCTACGTCAAGACCGATTTAATGAAAATTAAATCTCCACTGAAATTTTAATTGGCATACTAGCGTATAAGGCAATCTCGAGATTTGACTCGAATGGTAATTAACTAATTAATGTTTAGCATGTTTGAAACTTGCTGTTCAGGAATTTCTGCCGCATTCTTACACCACATAATGCCGGTATTGTACTTTTCATGTACGTAAAAATCGGGCAATAATCTTCTTTTCTTTACTTTTTTATTTAAAAGTATTTCCAATACCAATTTCCAAAGACCCGTTTTTTTAAATAAAAGTTATACGTTTATTAAAGCAACCCTTCTAACCTAACAGATGGACAGATAAAATAAGTTACATTTTTATGGAAACCTCACCACAAAATGTAAACAGAAGAAAAACTTTGAAAGGAGGAAATAACATAAACCTACTAAGATTTCGTAGTATCCTCAGATAGAAATTCGCTGCAAGCTCGTCATTTCACATTTAGCAAACAACAAATAAATCCGAAGATTCCCACAAAATTGTTACAATCCGCAATAATTTTGAACGTGCTCCAAGCCCGCAATAAATCGTAGAATTTACCGATCGCAGCCCAATTCAACGATTTTCGCTGATTTGTTGGCCTTCAACAATTGACCCAAATGATTGGCCAATAAATTGGTGAAAAGTTTGTAATATAATACCGGCAGTAGTTGTATTTCTTTTATTTCGTAGGATTATTTGTTATTCCAGTAAAAGTACGACGAAAATATTTAAATAACTAACGGAAACTATTAAACACCCTGCCTTCTTTTTAAAATTTCAATAGATAAATTAATTTTCCAACTATTGGCCGTTTAGTATATCTAAACGTTGCTATTTAAAAATGAAATCGTATGAAAAGTTAATTAAGAAAAATGGTATTAAATTACAAAAAGTTAATTACGCTCTGGCTATGATATCGGAAAACGTAAATACAAAGTTGGTTTAGTGGGAAAATTGGGCAACTTTAAAACTAGGTAATAAAATTAGGCTCTCAAATGTTTGCAACAATGTTTCGTGTATGATTTATTTGAAAAAAAGAATGGGATTTTTAATTCCAACATTGTTTGTTATGAACCGACCTGTTTAAATATGTAACACAGATAATAATATAGATTTTAACAAAATTTGGGGTTTTCAAATAAATGAGAGACGATAGTCTACCTCAGAAGTATTAAAGCGCCATTTTAATGCTGTTTCTACAATGATTATGTGAACTGACTTTGACTAATTTACGCTTTTCGATATTCCACAACGGGCTCTTCTTGATTCAGTAAGAATCTATGATGGTTATGGAATAAAACCAAGAAAGCTAATACAGTTTCCATTCACTTTTCAAAAAACAGCAAAACAAAATACAAACAATTTCGCAAAAAAACGTCAATAATATATTGGGAACGTCTAAAAACCATTGTAAATTAAAGATTTAGTTTCAACATTATTTTACGAAACCAATTTGCTTTTCCAATAATTATGGGAAACATTGTCTTAGTTGATTTCTGTAAGTTGCAAAAAAAATTATCAAATGCTACTAAACACATTTTGTAATTTTTTTAAATGAGCAATAGATTGGCCATTGTGAAGTGTCATTTGCTAAGAAAAAACTTTTTAAGTAGTTTCCAATATGATAATAGTAAGGCCCGAATTTGAACTCATAAATCAAAAGCAGTTTTGAATTCCTCGATCATTTTTATTTACGTCAATGCATAGCGACCGGATAAATTTGCCGTTGAATAAGTCGTATAAAATCTGTGAAGTTCAGCATTAAAAAAGTAAAGTGCTTTTTGATCTCAATTTTTCTCTTGGCTCCATAAAAAAAAGTTGAGTCCAGAAACGGCTCAAGAGGAAAGAAAAAGGAAATTAATGTAAATATAGAATTAAGTTTAAAAAGCGCAATCATAAGCTGTGGCATGCTTAATAATTATTAATGATTAATATTTTCCTCAATTTTCTCCATTTGTCATGATTTACCCTTCATATCCGACACAATATAACAATACTAAAGTATTGAAATTCATGTTAGTTTTGCTGAAATTGCAATTTATTGTGGCAACTTGAATATTGTAAACTCAATGACGGTCAAGAAGTTGACCTTCAACAAATTGCCCATTTATTGCCAATAAATCGGGAAAAATGTTGTAATGTAGTACTGGCATAAGAGTGAAACGTTTGATCCGGAAGTGTAATCGGAAACTGCTTTTGGTTTAGATCATTTTTGTTTTAGATTAGTACATAGTTTTAAGCAACCACTCAAGTGTACTTAATACTCTAAGCAGCACTTTCTTGTTCCGTCCAATGTATTGTGATTTTAAAGAATATATTAACTTTGTTATCAAACGATGTGTTTGGATTTGGGTTTTACATCCGCCTTCGTATGATATTTTGTCGTTGATGCGCGGACAAAAGTTAAAACGTTTTGCGTCAAGTAATTTAGCAACATCTACACTGTGAAAATATAAATATATAATTTTGTTTCCATGCAATTCCTTATTAGGTAAAACTAGTCTGTTATTTTAAAGAGCTTTTAGAAATTAGTAACCAAACTTGATCACGAAGATGCTCATTCAAAGTCATGTCAGGATAAGTCTTTAAAGTTGTTATTGTTAAAACAGTTAGGAAAAACAACATTATTGATGCTTTTAATAACGATAATTTTCTTGTAGGCAAAAACTTGTTGTTTATTATCTTCAACGGATAGAGTTTTTTTGCATTAAAATATCAATTGGCAATTTTTTATTTTCATATCGAAAAAATTGATGTGGGATACACTTTCGGTTAGCTTAAAGTTTACGGTAAATATTCATAACAAAGGCCATAAAACATAGAAAAAGTACATCAGTCATTTGTATCGTTAATTATGTAGTTCCAAAAAATCTAATTTCAATATTCTGTTTCTGTATTTGAAAATTTAGGTTTTTATTTGTATTATCGATTGATTGTCTTTACCAACTTTAGAGGTGTCCTATTTTTAATATAAATATTCTGTCTTAATAGTCATTTAAATATCTCTAATTCCCATTATTGAAATTTGGTACCATTTATTGAAGTGTATAGTAGTTGATTTGGTGGTTTAATTGCACACATTCCTTGACTACAATCGGAACTGTTTGAAACTGTACATATGTAAAATATTTAGATACCTACTGCTTTTGCTTTAAATGGAGAAAATTACTAACATATTAAGCTAATATGAAGCAAATCGTATTAGTTCCACAAATGCTGTAAACGAGATAGCTTCTTATTGGCATAGCTGAGTAAAGTTACACTTGGATATGGGACAATTAATATAGGTTAGTATATTTTTAAATTAATCTAATCCATACCGCTAATTAATAATTCTTTTAGCTGAAAACAGCGCATGTATGATCTGCTTCTATAATCCAAATCCCATTTACGTTGAGTAACTGAAAGGAGGTCTGAAATTGTATCCACGGATTGATTGCTTGGAAGGAAACATTAGCAAACCATGGACATGTGCTATTACTTAAATCTTAAAAATTAGATATAAAAATTGATCCCATTTCCCAAATTATTAATATTTTTCAATTTTGAATTCAGTTCTGACATGCATTATGTATTTATAGGGTCATGTTGTCTCTACCTCTCGGAGCAAAATATACAGTCTGAGTTTTGGACCTCAATGCACATTCAAACTTATCCTCTTCAATTTGGATCCACCAACAGAACATCTCATAACGTTCCAATTTGAATACCTATCTTGTGATTTATCAACTTAATTGTAAATAGATCATTGACCTATAACCTTTCACAGGAGGGTTTTGTTGTGTTTATCTATAGTTACTTGACCTTTTGATATTTAAGAAGCAACAGGTGTTTACGTCATCTTAATGTGAAACCTTAAAAAACATTGTTGTCGCCCTTTTGATATAGTTTTTTGCAAATATCTCAGTTTTTGAGAAGAATTAATTTTGTTTATTATTTTTCCTGAATTCCCTAAACACCCCTAGAGGAATAACGCCAATTTTGAATCACCCTATACAGGGTGTCCCGTAAGCAGATGATGAAAAGGACACTGCGATATTCTTTGCATCAAAAGGAGATGATCTGACCTAACTTTTATTAACAAAAAATGTCTGGCTCCTCTGCTATAGATGTTCAAAGTTCTTCCAAAAAATTATTATTTTTGAAATATCGGGAGAATTGTACCATGTATTTTAGTGAAATGTAAGACTCATATTTTGATGAAACAACCGAGTGCATCCCTTTTGAACAAGTGGTGAAATCATGAGTGGTGTGGTACAAAAACTACCAGATCTTTTTGTTTGGTGGATGAAATCAACTCATTTTTTTGGTTGATGCACTAATCATTCTATTCACAATTTTGTGCTCTTTGTAGAATCCTGTAGCATTCATAGTTTTTGCAAAACAAATATTTCTGTTTTCTTGCCACTTAACAATGTTAGATGTTAACTGCAAATATCGTGATACGAGACATAAAATAAATGTCAATCAATCTCACAAATTCGTTTTTAATGACCTTTTCTAATGAAGAAGTCATGGTCAAAGTATTAACTTGCGTGAAAGCGTAGCTGCGCATATTTGCAGTTAATGTCTAACATTGTTAAATGACAAAAAACAGACATTTGTTTGCGCAAAAACTATGATTGCTTCACAAGTTTACAAAGAGTACAAAACTGTGAATAAATGATTAACGCATCAACCAAAAAATGAGTTAATTCCATCCACCAAATAAAAATTTCTGGTAGTTTGTGTACCACGACACTCAATAAATCATCACTTGTCCAAAACGGCTGATCTCGATTGTTTCATCAAAATATGAGTCTTACATAAGAACAAATTCGCAGCGAGTCTCACTAAAATACATCGTACCATTCTCCCGATCTTTCAAAAAAGATCAAATTTTGAAGTATTCAAATTGAAATTTTCAAATGGTAACCGCGGTTTTCCTGAAATAAAATTAATTTTTATTGAAAATATTCCAAATCAAAATCAATTCCTGGGCTTCAGTCATTTATTGTCTCTAATTATCAATTAAAATACGTTTCGGTGTATATACAGGGTTGCTCATTAGTGCGTCAAAGTGCGATATCTCAGTAAATATGAACTTTACAAGAAAATACGTCCTACGAAAGTTTTTCATG